TGACCCACTCACCCTGAATATTTCCTGTGAGTAACTTCTATTCCTCCGTTACCCTGGCTGTGAACTCAAATACACAGGGCCAGAGGCTGGGCCACTTAGTCCCTCTCAGGTCCAAGTACACAGACCCTCTCTCCTGGGCACCTGGACTGGCTGTGACAATAGCCCCAGGCACATCCAGGAAGGCCTAGCCTTGGGCCATGAATAGGAGGGGAGGGCTTGTGGTTCCCTAGAGAGGCCTGGGGTCAGCCACCTGGGACAGAGAAGCAGGGGAATGTCACACACTAATTTCAGTGAACATAGGGGTTTGGTTCAGACTTTCTGTGAGTGTGTATGGTGCTGGGATTTGAACCCAGGGCCTCTTGCAGGCTGGGCAGGTGCTGTACCACTGTATTCCCCAGCCTAGTTGCGACTTTTAAAATAAACAAGGTTGTGACATGGATCAGTAGTTATATTGTGGTCTTCTACAGTCTAGGAAGTTCCCCTTCCCTCTGATGACATTACATGTGGCTTTATTCTGTTTGCTCCAGATGGCCCGGATGCCCCCATCATAAACCCCCCAGACTCACATTTCCATTCAGGGACAAATCTCAACCTCTCCTGCCACGCAGACTCTAACCCGCCTGCTCAGTACTCTTGGTTTTTCAATGGGAGTCCCCTGGAATCCACACAAGAGCTCTCAATCCTCAACCTCTCTACAAATAATAGCGGATCCTATGTGTGTGTCGCCCATAACTCTGTCACTAACCTCAATAGGACCACAACCAAGAATATTACCGTCTCTGGTAAGTGGACCCTGGAGCACAGTATCAAGTGCTGGGTAGAGTCTTGATTTTCTGGAAACAACGTGGAAGAAGTTACTTCCTAGCCTGGCACAAGCAAATCCTCTCCTTGCCTGAGCCTCCAGCTCCATCCCAGAGACCCTCCTCTTGCTTCTGACTTCTCATGACCAATCTAGGATCTATGTGGAATGTGGGGAGGGGCTTCTCCCAGACCCAGAAAGTCTTAGGTAGTGAAAGGAGCTTCCCGGAGAGGGGGAGGGTCCTTGAAGTCAAGTCACTTCTTTCCATCACTAACTTGTCCCTTTCTGTCACCTCTCTGCTTTCTGTTACCTCCTCCATGAGCATCAAGGAACCTGCATGGCTTTGCAATATGTTCATCCTCTTTTTCACCAAATGACAGCAGGAAAGCCCCCTCAGATGGGGGACGAGCAGCTCTGCTCCTGTCCTGTTCTGACTCCATATAGGGTGGGAGGGGTGGGTGGAAAAGAGGCCTGGGAGGCCCATCTAGAATCTGGATCAATCATGTGGTCAGTTGGTGCCTCCTAAGTCAGGAGCAGGGGAGGGAAAGAGCCAGCCTGGGGGCAGATGCTTCTGAGTTGTGTCCTGGCTCTGAAGTCCCCAGGTGCATAGGGTTGGGAACACAAGCCCATGTCATGCACCACAGAGAATAGAAGAGATGCACACCTGGAGGGACGGGAGCCTCACCTGCAGAGTCCCTGCGAGGCCGGGCAGGGCGGTGCCGAGAGCATGTGTTTGCAGAGAGGACAAGCGTGCCGGGGTTGGTCAACACTGTGACCTTCATCCCCACAGGTTTCTTTCACTGCAATATTTAATCCACAGGCCAGGAAATAAAGAGCTCTTCAAACTGACAAATCCTGTAGATTGGAATTTCTCCAGACACTAAGGTCATGAAGACTGACTGGACCATCTTAATTCCCTGACAAATTATTTAATGAAAACTATACACTTTGCCTCTGAATGTAAAGCTACTTCCTGCCTGAGAGCCTGACCTTCTAGAGGCACAGAAAATTCTAGAAAGCGATTGCTCGAGAGTGGATGGAAAAATTGTTCCACCTGAGGATGAGCTTGCTGGACAGATCCTATAGAGATGTCCAGGGACCCTCAGGGTGATCTGAGGTCGAAGGAGGGGCAGCACTTTCCTTACATTGTCACCTGAACTACGACACCCAAACTCTGCAGAGGGTCAGGGCCATCATCTGGGCCACCTTACACAACTCACTGTGGGCCCTGATCACTGGTAAGGTCTCTGAGGAAGGACCACCTCAGTTGGCCCCTTCTTTTTGTCCACAGGACCATTGACACCGCCCCACCTCACAGCTAGCAACACCAGGGTGGCAGAARGGGACTCTGTGCAGCTGACCTGCATCTCAAATGACACTGAAATCTCCATCCAGTGGTTCTTCAATAACAAGACCCTGCAACTCACAGACAGGATGCAGCTGTCCCCAAACAACAGCATCCTGACCATACGCCCGGTCCTAAAGATGGATGAAGGAGAGTATCAGTGTCAAGTCTCCAACCCAATCTCTTCCCAAAAGAGCAACCCCATCACACTGACTGTGATCGGTGAGTGACGCTCTGGCCCTCCTACATCTTACTGGGGGATTTCTTTATCAATGGTATACAAAATGGATAAAAGTCATAGGGGAAAGAATATCAATTAAGACACTAAAGCAGTAAGCAGAATTGCAAAGTGGTTCGGAGTTTAGGCTGTCAGTGAAATATGTAGTCAACTTATGCATTCATGAGGAACTGCTTCCAGAAGCCCTGCATATACCAAAGGATGCTCTAGAGCCTTATAAAGAATGGCATAGTTCCCAGCATCTTGGGAAGCTGCCACAGGAGGATCACAAGTTCAAGGCCAGTCTCGGCAACTTAGCGAGGTTCTAAGCAACTTAATGAGACCTTGTCTCAAACAAAAAAAATAAAATAAAAAGGTCTGGGGACTTAGCTCAGTGGTAAAGTGGCCCTGAGTTCAATCCCCAGTACAAAAAATAAATAAGAATGGCATAGTGTTTGTGTATAACCAACATTCTCCCTGTTCCCTACACTTTATTTTGAAGTACTGGGAATGGAACCCAGGGCCTCATGCTGACTAGCAAGAGCTCTGCCGCTGAACTATATCCAAGCCCTTTTTATTTTAATTTTACTTTACAGTGCTGGGGATAGAACCCAGGGCTTCACACATACTGGGTAAGTGCACTACCACTGAGCTGTTATTTTTATCCACAGCCCTTTTATATTTGAGTCAATTTAGTCTCACTAAATTGCCCAGGATGGCCTCAAACTTTTGATCCTCCTGCTTCAGCCTCCCAAGTAGCTGGGATTCCAGGCATGTACCACCATGCCCAGTAACTTCCATACACCTTAAATCAGCTCTAGATTTTTTTTAATATCTCGTACAATGTAAATGCTATATAAATAATTGTTATACTGTATCATTTAAGGAATAATAACAGAAAAAACCTCTGTACATTTTCAGTGAGAACACAATTTTGTCGGACTGTTTTCCTTCTGCAGTTGGGTGAATCCACTTTGTTCCTTTTTTTTTTTTGACAGTACCGAGGGTTGGACTCAGGCTAGGCAAGTGGCAAGTGCTCTACTATGGGAAGCCGTTCTCACACGTGATTGGGCTACCTCCCTGACTGGGTGTGAGGCGCTCAGGTCAGCTGTGTCAGAACTTTATCCCCACCCTTTCCAGGTGCGAGGGCCTGTCCGTGTGGGGGTGTGACTGACCATTGACCTGGAAACCAATCACTGACCCTGACCTTGGAATGCTGTCCCCCTCGACCTTCATTGGATGGAATTTTCCCCTGAATTTTTTGTTCCCCAATAAAAGCCCACTCTCTGGCGTGCTTCTTCCCCTCTCCTGCTGGTCTCTTAAGTAAACCTCGCTACCGCCAGGTGGCTCGAGGCAGGAGCCGGGAGAAGCCGTCTCTGAGTTGGGCAAGAAAAAGGTAAACTGAGTTTTATGTGTCTTTATTTTCATCTCACTAGTTAACTTCTATGTTTGGAACCTCTAGTGTGAAGCTAGCGTGCTGGTCGCGCGGCAGACTCTACCACCAGGTTAAATCCCCATCCCTTTTTATTTTATTTTGAGACAGGGTCTGGCTAAGTTGCTCAGGCTGGCCTCAACTTGCAATCCTCCTGTCTCAGCCTCTCAAGTATCAAAACTACAGGTGTGCACCATGTACCTGGTTCAAGATTCTTTTCTGTTCACTTTTTTTTTTTTGGTGTGTGGTAAAATACACACAACCTAAGATTTGCCATCTTGGCCCCCTTGAGCATACGATTCAGCAGCATTAACCAGGTTCATATTCTTGTGCAACCATCACCACTGTCTGTTTCCAGAACTTTCCCATCCTACTGAGCAGTAGATCTCAAAACATATTCCTCTTGTCTGTCTGAAACTTCAAACCCTCTGACCTCCTTGACCACCCAGTCTCTGGTAACCCCCATTCTGCTTTCTACTTCTAGAAATTCAACATTTGTAGATTCCACATACAGGTGAGATCCTGCAGGGTCCCGCTTCCTGTTCCCAGTTTATTTCACTTCCTGTGTTGTCACAGTGATAGAATGCCTTTTTTTTGAAAGGCTGGCCAGCATTCCACTGTGAACATATGCCACCTTTTCTTTATCTGTTCATCCATTGACGGACACTTGGCTATTGGCAATGCTGCATGAACATGGGGGGGTTACTTCTCTCTCTGACAGACTATTTCAACTCCTTCTGTGCCTATATTGGGAAGTGGAATTCCTGGATTATGTGGTTGATAATGTCCTTGGATGCACAGAAGGCCCCACCTATCAGTTATTTAACTCTGCACTGAATATTTTTTATGGTAAAGTGGTAGTTATCAGGCACTTGTGTTTATACAGCTGGTGAAAATTGTTAATCATGTGAAGGTGGAAAGTCCTCAGAACTTGGACTGAGTCTCTGTCACGTCCCATGAGTAAACACTCAGGGTCACTCCAGGTGAACGGGGCTGTCAGGAAATAATCACACAGAGACAAAGAAATACTTTTTTTGGGGTCTTGTAATGGCTCCTCTGACCTTAGGGGTCTGTGGAAAGAGAGAGAGTGAGGAGCACATGCTGAACCCTTTTATTGGGAAGCCATTCAAATGAGGCAAGGGGTCAGGTTTCAGGGGGTTGAGTCTAGCTTCCTGATGCCTGCTGTCAGCAGGTTGACTGACATCTGGGGAGGCCATACCCATCTCATGAGCTGTGTGGGCATCATAGGCCAGAGCAAGAGAAGGAGACACACAAAGGAGGTTCCATGGAACATTCTATCCCAAACAGGGCAAAGGGGTAGGATTAAAAAGAAATAAGTGAGTCCAACCGCAGTGGGTATTACTCCTGAAGCCACACCTTGATATCTGAGCTGGGACAATGCTCAAGTCACTATGAAATGTAGTGATTGGTCAGAGCCTCATGTGTCAGGAGGCGTGTTCATCCAGGGCAGCTCCTGACAAGTCTGTAAATGCTCAGAACCATGAACTGACAGGCCCATTTTTCTTGACCTAAGGTCTGTGCAACACCAGGTCCCACCCTTTGCAGGTCTCACTTGTGCCCTCTTCAAAGCGAGATGGTGTTATGGAGGGACAGGGGCACCTGGGCTGAGACCCAATGAGACATGGCACTGAGTGAACAAGGCCTCTCCCCCCATGTGGTTTCACCATCCCCCTGGAAGATGCTCCCAGGCACTCCTGCCCCAGGGGACCCAAGCCCAGGCTGAGTCCTGCAAAGGATGAACCCTAAAGCCCCGAGCACCCACCCCCAGGCCTGCACCAGCCCCTGCAGGCCTCACCCTCCTGGACCAGCAAACACCAGCCCCTACCCAGGGAGTGGCCTTCATCCACCACGACACAGAGGGTTCCTAGACACACATAATGTCACTGGAGTAGGGACCACAGTTTCTCCATAACAGGCCTCCTCTGTCCTCCCCAAGGCCTAGGGCTCTCTCCCTGTCCTTAAGTGTTCCCATAACTGTGTACTTCTGAGCCCCAGAAAGAAGCTACCCCAATGCGCCCATGACCCTATGAGGGACAGCTGGTCACAGGTGGGCACCATCATAGATATCTCCAAGGCCCCCCAGGCCCTGTAGCTATAGAGAGTCCCTGCTGGTGGGTTGACCATCTCTGTGCTCTAGGCTTCAGATTTTCAAACACAGAGCTGATGTGGTGACATCCATCCACACCTGTCCCCAGGGAGCATATGCCAGCTCAGGTCCTTGTCCTGAGCATAGTGGTGGGTCCTGCCCCATAGAACCTGCTAAGAGGTGTTTTTCCAGAGAAGTCACACAACAGGGGTGGGGATTTAGCTCGGTGACAGAAGTCTTGCCTACCATGCACAACACCCTGAGTTCAGTCCTCAGCTCCGGGGGAGAGAGGGGGAATAAATGAAAGCAAGGACAAGGGACCTTTAGGACAAAGGGATCCCAGTGTTCCCACCCAGGTGGGGGACCGGTGAATGAGCAGGCAGGTCCTTCCAGCTGAGCTCTCACTGTGTCCCTCAGCCTGAACACATCATCAGAGAAGACCACGAGACAGAAGCTCAGAGACAAATGGACACATGGAAGCCCTGGGCCCTGCTGCATGCCTTCCCAAGGGCATGTCCTGAAGCTGCTGTCCAAGAGGGTGTCCCTCTGCCCAGCCTGGCTCTGTGGACAGTGCCTGTGCCCTCCTGCCC